AAAAAAATTCAATGTTCCGGATGAGATCCGGAATTCCCTGTGAAGATTCTTATGTTAATTCCCTCGCTTAGCATTTATTATGCATTACGCAAAAAGGTGGAAAGATGTGCCTGTTCATACCAAGGTCACAACGAACTCTTTTTACTCAAATGAACAAACTCGGTCGCTCTTTTCTTCCTCCCCATTTATTATCTAACAAATCATTTTTTTATTATCATTTTATTATCATTTATTACAACCGACATATAGAATACAAAGTAATAAGAGATATTGAAATAAAAAGTGAAATTTAATAATTTTTATAACTTAATAAATTTTAATAGCTAAATAAAATTTTTCCTTCAAAATTTCCTTCTTCTTTTTATTATATACCTAATAGAATGATTCAAAAATAAAAATACAAAATAAGCCTGTTATTTAAAGTTTATGAATTTCAAAAGATCGGATAAAAAGCCAGTTTTCAACATCACAATATTTGCACAATATAAATATCAAAAATTTACATACAAGTGTACATCAGAAGATTTTTTTTATTTTAAAAAACATCTCTCGTTATAAAATAATCTTCGTTCGTGAAGAATAAATCCGGAAGATTTGCATCTTGTCAAACAAAGTGCTGCATTATTTAACATTAACTCACGTGTTTATCATTGCATTTGCATGGTGTCAAGAGGTAAATCTCCAGAAAGTACAATACAAATTTTGAAAATTAATGGGCGGTATCCAAAGAATCAAACGGAAGTGAGGAAGTCCACGACGATTTACTCAACAGCACAACTTTACGCTAGGAATTCCTATCGAGTCACTGGATTAGGTTCAATGCCAGCACGTAGAGAAACGAGTCGTCAATCGATTCGGCTTTCAACAGATATAACTCCGGAGAGAGATGTGTGTAAGTGGAGGACATTGGCATACAAGACATAATGTCTTCCCATGGAATTCTGAAGTTTTCTGTGGTAGGGATAACAGAGTCCGATCTTGTCGTATAAAAGTCTTTGCACTAATCGGACTGAGAAGAGTTAATCTTCGTCCGAAAACGTGATCTCAGCAAGGTATGAAAAAATATTCAGTAGCAAAAATTACACTTGATCAACTTTTCAAAGAGTGAGATTAAAAATTGATAAATTAAAAAATTGAATATAATCCAATTTAAATTTTCTACATTATATTGTAGAAAAGTTATAAGTTAAGCTATTAAAAATTGCAATTTACACTTTTAACCGTTTAAAAATTTAAAAACTTTAATTTCTACAAATCTAATATCTAAATAAACAAATTTAAAATAACGAGACGCATACAGTAAAAGTCAAATTTAAAATATTTTCAAATTTTTTATAAGTTAATAATGTACAATCACACGAAGATTTTCAAGTATTTAAGAGGGAATTCTAGTCTAGAAGCTTGATTTTTAAGCTATCTTCATGAATTTTTTCTGAAAAATTCGTAAGATCTATTCAAATCAGGGTTTCTGCTACATATTAGTATACATTTCAGAATTTTTTTATTCTAATATTCCAAGAAATAAGCCTTGTATAATAATAAGTTTTTGTGAGATCGTGAATAAAATAAGGCGCTGCACAGTGCCCATGATTGCGGCTGTTCTGCGGCTCATCTGAAATAAAAAAAACCAAAGAGATTTCTTGAAGCATATGAGTCTGGCTATCGTTTGATATAATAAAAGAAATATAGAAAGAAAGAAATAAAAAGGCCCTTTCAAAAATTATTTTCCGAAATTTTTTCGAAATTTTTTTATCTTTAAAATGCTGTAAAATAAATAATAATAAACATTTTGACTTTAGTGTGGGTCAGACGATAACCAGACTCATATGCTTTAAGAATCTCTTTGGTTTTTTGTTTCAGAGCAGAATAGCCGCAATCATGAGCACCGTGCAGCGGTCTTATTTTTTTCACGATCTCACAAAAACTATTATACAGGGCTTATTTCTTAGAATATTACGATAAAAAAATTCTGAAAGATACTTGAAATATGTACTAATATGTAGCAGAAACCCTGATTTGAATAGACCTTAGGAATTTTTCAGAAAAAATTCATGAAGATAGCCTAAAAATCAAGCTTCTAGAATCTCCCCTTAAATACGAGTACGAATAATATACCGAATATAAAATAAATCACACAAATATTTTATAGCGAATTATCCGCATATACCTAATATTTGAACAATAAATTGAATATTTAAACGTATATGTTAGTTGTAATTTCCTACCTCAATAATGTATAACTATTATGTAACACATGTGTTACATTGTTGAGTAGGAAATTACAACTAACATATACGTTACATATAACATTGTGTTTGCTGGATTTATTTTCTTTAATAATTAATTTCGTATCAGATGACAACTAGGTGTCTCATAGTGCTGGCTGCCGTGCTGGCTGTAATTTACGCTCAAGTGGAATCCACAGTCGTTAGAGCTCCAGTTCCCTGTCCGGGATGTGAACCACCATCCTTACCATCACGCAATCCGGAAACTCATGCAATTGCGAGAGATACAACATCATCGGTATCAAGCGAAGTAGCTGAGACACAACCACGTCATAAAAGGGCACCAGTTCTTCTGGGAAAGGCTCTCTTGGGAGGTGCTCTTCTTGGTGCAGGAGCTCTGGGTGCTGGAGCCTTGGGTGCCGGAGCCTTGGGTGCCGGAGTCCTTGGTGCCGGTGTTCTCGGCGCTGGATTGTACAAAGCTAAACAGTAAGTCGATATCATCAAGATTAGATTCCTGAGGGACGAAATGTCTGGAAGAAAAAAAAAAGAAAGAAACGATATCATATATCGCAGCTTTATCGCAGCAAATCAAAATAAGTACCAAGTAGCAAATACTATTTTTTGCTTTCTCATATTATGTTAAATTATCATGTCAGAAATGAGAAATCGTACAATTCCTTTTTTTTTATACATCGATTATAATTATTTCGCATATTATTATACACATTGATAATACAAGTTAAAATGTATCAAAGATTCTTCTTTTAACTCACGGATTAATAAACAATAAATCTTGATGATCAATTGCTTCCAATAATTTTAAATGTGTCGAAAATAAATTTTGCAATATCTGTTATAAATGTAGAAAAAGGAATATAAAAACTATCAGTATATTAATATCAACATTTTTATTCGCTTTAATTCGCTTTTATAATTCAATTTATAAAAGTATATATCTATTCTTATCTATCTATTTTGCGAGGTCAACTCCCAAATATAAGTAAATAATCCGTTTGTGCTAACTAAATTAACATCAATTAACGCATGTAAGAATTTCACACATTTTTATCATTTTCTTAGAAATTCGTTGAATACTGCCTGTCATTAGTTCAATTTTTGTAATATTAATTAAACTTTATTAACATATTGAACCATATATTGAGATTTCATTAATTAAATATTAAAATAAAAATATCAAGGATGTCTTAATAAATTATTAATAATATTTTCTCTTTTCTTTTAGTTATGGTGGCTACGGCGGATATGGCTATGGCGGATATGGCTATGGCGGATATGGATACCCACAGACCCATTATCATTACCATAATTATCCCCATTATCATAATCATTACCCTCATTATCACCAGTATAATTATGGACCAGGTTATGGCTACTGGTAAATTGACTGATTTCAACGCATTATAAGTAAGTTTGATATACATTACGGCTCAAATGTTTAAAATATCCAAAATTTGTAAATAAAAAAAATATATAAAATATATAAAAAAATTAATGATTTTTTATAAATACAATTATTTTAAAAATATTGGCATTTATTTATGACCAGAGATATGTGAACTAGTTGAATTGAAATGAATCATACGAGGTGCGTGTGTGCGTATATATGTGTGCTTGTGTGCGTGCGCGCGCGAATATGTTGCGTAAATGAATATAATTGCAAAAAATATTAATCGTCTGAAAATAACATTGGGATATAACAAATGTTTTTTTATATGATTCTTTATATATTTTAATTAATAACCAATATATTTTCTCGTAGATCTCATCAACAAATGGAACTATATTTTGCCATACAACTTATTACCTTTGATTTATTATTATATATTTAATAATGATAAGAACTATTTTCTTTGAAAACAGTACACATTGCGATATTTATATTGTATTATTTTTTTATATAGATCTGTTGTATCTGTTGTAATGCCTGTAATTCTATGATGTATAATAAAAAATTAAATAAAACTGATTCTAAAGATGAATTGACCGCCCATTGATTATTATTGGCCAATTCAATTCTAACAATAACTTTAAAGAAATTATATTGTTAGCAGTAACAGAGTAAATAAGAATGGAAATCTGTTCTCTTTATACTATAAATAAATCATAAAAGATACAATAATAAAAATATATGGGGCAACGTGTGATTCAATACCTAGACCGATTAGTAATTAATAAATAGCAAATTCGAGGAAAAAAAAGGATTTTTTTAAAGAATATCAAAGTATCAAAGTACAGCTATCAGTATATTTTTTGTTGCAAAGTTAATGTTGTTGTATTAAAACGTCTTCTCAAAGTTCTTATTAACAAATTTTTTTCTCTTGTTATTTCAATGCAAGTATAGTAAGACATTACTAGAGAATAAAGATACAATATTTTATAGTAGCTCGATGTTTATTTTATATATATATATATATATATATAAATTATAATTAGTTATAATTAGCTCTAAAACACTTATCATTTGGATGACTCACATAAATGAAAACGTTTTACATGCCAAACATAAGTTTTCAACTAGATTTTATTACATTGATATTCAAAAAATAAAGTGTTGTAGTCTTCTATGATATTTCCAAAATGATAAAAGAAAACATAAGTTATATTACACAGATATTATGTTTTATTGTAAAAAACATAAATAAATAAAATATATAATACAATATATATAATATAGTAAAAAATACAGTTTTAAATTCCTAATATATCTAATTTTACTAATCTATACTGTCGTGTTTGAATATTTCTAACAAGAACAATATTAGATCTTTTACTAATCATTTCGAGGAATGAGGGTAAAGTGACATATCCTATGCCAATGCCCTTTGCCTGACTAAACGAGAAATCTCCTAGCGTTATATATCCCATAACTTCTCTATCACAGGAATAGCGAACTTGTGTACATTTTGGGAGGTACAATTTTGACATTTTCATTAATTGTTCAGATATAATTTTACGATGTGATGAAACAGTCATATGTTTAATGCTTTCGTTCAGTTTGCTGGGAGATTTTAGTAATTTCAATACATTATCTTTTAACAATTTATTCTGACGAATTCTTTGTCGTCTTAATCTTTTTAATACTTTTAAATGATTTTTTCGTAATGTTTTACGAATTCTTTCATTCGGATCATTATAACATTTTTGTACAGGTCCATGCCATTTTTTATTACTTTCAAGCTTTTTTAAATCTTCGGATGTCGGCATGCATATAATTGCAAATTTCTTTGGCAATCCTTTTCCTATCATAGACACCTGAACATGTATCAAGCAATGTTTATAATCTTGTAAGTCTGGAAAATCAGATTGCGTATTTTGGCCATGTAATTTTGTTTTATTTTTGACAGAACAAATGGCCGCCTGCAAAAGTAGTAAGATTTCGCGATTTCTTAGAACATAAAAATTTTCATTGCCTGACCAGTCTTCACCAAATTTTTCCAATCGCAAAAGAAAGGACTACCAATTCCAAATTTGACAAAAATTAACTACTTTTTGTTGGGTTGGATAACGAAATATTTTTAGTAATTCTCTTCTGTAATCAATGCTTCCCTCGTATAAGCAGGGCTGTCAGGATCATTAATATCAGGTACATTTGGATTCAAACTTTCCAAAGATATCGATTTTAATTCTCGAAGCGCACCTA